ATATTATCGTTTATCGCAATAAATTTTGAGACAATTAATCGCCCAGCAAAATTTGTTATCGTGACAGGCCTAACTATTCTTTGCTAAGGGTTCCACTGGGACGTGTTTTAACCACTTGTTTTGTCAGCTATAAGTCACTGAAGTGCAGGTAAATAAAAAGTCTTGATTAGGCAGAAGGGTGCCCTGTGAGCACAGCTGAAAAAAGGGAAAAAAGGCAGGAAACTAGTTAAAAGTGTCAGTTTTCAGTTTGAGGTCATTTCCTGAGGAATGTTTTGTGTGTTCAGTGTTTCAGACTGGCATGGTGGGATACCCTGAGGCTCTCACTGACCCGTCCTACAGCTGCCAGCTGCTGACTCTCACTTACCCTCTGGTGGGCAACTACGGGGTACCAAACGATGAAGAGGGAGAGTTCGGACTCAGCAAAGTGAGTTAAACAATACAAACCACATAATAAATTGAACTAGAGAATGGTTTTTACGATGTAAAAACAAGTGTGCATTGCCATATATCATGTCATTGCAGCATGGCTTTACCTGCAGCAGTGGACTTGCAGAATGAACTTTGACCAAGTTCAAATGTGTTTTCTAATTACAACAATCTGAAAATATGTAGTTTTACTGAAATAGTTTGTTCATAGCTGGGATTGAATCCTGATCTCCTGCATGAAAGCCCTCAGTGTTCACCATGAGACTATAGGAGCTGTGGCAGAGTATAATCCCAGGGGTTGGATTGTATGAATGCAGAAAGAGTTTACCTTGCCAATACAATTATTGACACTAAACTGCAATATATTACAACAATAGAGCAATACTAGGACAATGTTTTGGAAAACATCAAAATACAATCATATTAGTATTGTAACCACTATTGAGACTAAATATTATTAAACTATGGTTCAGTACTGAGTAGATACAGCAGGGGGCAGTATTGGACCAATAGAAGGCTCCATTGACTCACATTATAAATTAAACATTATTTCAAAAACTATAAGTTGTACAGGCACCAAAAGGCATAGCCATCATTTGGCAYAGGRSCTTTACAGATATAAATTACAATGGCAGCTCTAGGACAAAGTATGCAGGAGGAGAAGCACGCCAAAGTGGAGATGACTTGGATGAGAAACAAATCACAATAGTGTGCATTGCMWWKGCAATGCACACTGATCATTGTGTGAATGCTTCATCGCGTTCACACTACTGAGATCGTCAGTGACCATCAGACGAGCCTCACAAACGCCAAGAAACCTCGAAGTGTTATTAAACACCTTAGAGAAAAATTGAGCTCCCAAATATGATATTAAACATTATTTATCCCGGACGAGCCCCCATATTTGTTACGGTCCCGGSGTCTAGGATACCCAGGACGCACAACATAAAGTCCGGACACAAAGGTGTTTGTTAAAAGAACACAAGTTTTATTGTTTGGACAAAACAAAGGAAGCCCCACTTCAAAACAAAACAAAAAGAGGGAGGAAACCCGAACCAGCCAGCAGTTGACCGTCGGATCCGGGCAACCTCCCCTTGCCCTCCGGTCCAGGGTCTCACCCTACAACCAAAAACCGGGAAAAGAAGGGCTGGCAACTCCCAGGCCAAAAGCAGGTATCTACAAGGAGGAAAAAAGTGGAGCGGCGGCGAGGCTGGAGCGCAGGACCAACAAGCAAACTTCTCCCCTCAGGCCGCACGCTCCGCTGTCAGGTGGAGCTCATTTCCTTTTATTATCCTCCCAGCCAATCAGCTGAAAGGAGAGGACATCAGACAATTAGACAGGTAAAAATGACGCAGGGACACGTCACACATATTTTCAGCTGAAGTTTTCAGCATGAAGTGTTCACACTAGCATTTTAGCAGGAAATGTAATTTCTCAAGTTAACATGTATAATTGGAGAGTGGGGGAGGGGGGCTTCACCAGAACACGATCTGATGATGACATTTGTTTCTTCTGCTCAGTGGTTTGAGTCGTCTAAGATCCATGCTGCGGCTCTGATTATTGGTGAATTGTCAGAGAATCCCAGTCA